ACACCTGTGGTCTTCTCAGGGGGCATGTCAGACTCCCTCATTGCAACCCAGGGTCCATGTTTTCCTCCAGCCCAGGGTCCACGTTTTTCTCTGTTCTTTAGATTGCCGTTTGTAAACCCCATCACTGTGCTCCCAGCCTTTTCCAGTGGGTAACTGATTCTTGTGTTGACTTGCAGATCATAAGGCAGCAGTTTCCTCAGTTAACCACCAGGAGACTCGGGACCCGCGGACAGTCAAAGTAAGCACCGACGGCCTTTCCACCTGCAGAGCGCGCGTCCGTGGGCCCCCAGAGACCCAGACTCCGGGCCTCTCATCCTGAGCTCAGTCTGGGGAGAAGTCTGTGCCTGGTGGGAGTGGCCCCCTCTCCCAGGAGCCCTAACAGAGATGCTGTCCAAAGACCAGCTGCTTTAAGGAATCCGACTTGATGCCACCCTGCCTGTAGGTGTTTATGTGAAGTAGTCTTGAGCATCTTCTAAAAGGAGCACCTTGTGGTCTTTTGACCAGTTTCCAGGTTACTTGGATTGTTTTGACCAGCAAACTCTGTACTCTCACAGAATCCAGTCAGCCAGAGAAGCAACACATACCAATCCCTGCAAGGGAGATGGGCCAAAAGATGCTGTGGTACCCAGGCATCCTGCTTCCCAGTCACCCATTCTGTCAACCAACCCTCCAAGTTTGCTTCTCATTTTTTGCTGTCAGATAATGGTGCTAAGTGCTGGGGACACATGAGCAGACAGGTCCCTGCACTCCTGGATGGAGCAAATATTCTCCAGGGGAAGACACACACACGCAAATATCATCAGATTGTGAAGGGGGTTGCCCTAGGGAATAACAAAAGGGTGGCCTGGTCTAGAAAGGGTAGCCTAGGAAGGCCTCACTAAGGAGGTGACCCGAGGAGTGAGAAGGCTGTACAGACGTCTGTCTCCCAGGTGACAGTCAATGGGAAGGGAATCTCTGCCTATCCCAACCAGGCTTCACGAAAATCTAGATTTATAAAGGCTCATTTTAAAGGGTATTTCAAAATACTGTTGGAAGTGACTAGGTGTTCCATGAAGAAGGTCTGTTGACTGTGAAAGTTTGGTAAGCTCTGAACTAAACAGGTTCCTTTATGCAGGATTTGTCAGAACCTTTATTATGCTAATTATACCTGGTGACTCCAGTAGGTATTATGCAGCATTTCTAAACATTTTGACCATGTTGGGCGGCGGATCAACACACACTGACTTATAAAATAATGAAACTTTTTTTTAAAACACAGCAACCACATATAGGACTTGTAAGACTTGTCAGTTAAAGTGCTTCAGAAGTAGTGTATCCAATATTGTCCCCCTCATCCCAGCCCCCAGCTATCCCTGGGCAGCACATTCCTACCCTCCGAGGGTAGGTTTAACTTTGGAGCCAAGTTGGATAAACAGTGTGGAAAGTAGATGATCAAACTGGGGAAACCCTTTTTAGTAAAGTTTTGAAAATCAAATGAGACTAATTTTTTTTTTTAATGTGGCTCAGAAGTTCTGGGGGCAATTTTCAAAGAGAAAAATTTTGAGCAAGGGGTATTTTGGAATAAATTTCTAATAATTTTTCAGGGTGACTCCTCTGAAGAACAAATTTCATTCATACTGAAGAATTCAAGTATTTGTTTAAAATGAGTTTTCAGCCCTGGTAAGAGTGTGGAGTAGAAAACCCAGATTCCTTCTTTCTTGTTTGCTGGTGAGCACGTGGTTGAGACACAAGGGCAATTCAATCTACAGATAAGTGGATGGTTGGAAGGCTATTGAATGAATGGAAAGGAATTATTTTTTTCTCCAGCCCATGGTCTTTTTTAGCATCACTGGCTCCAATACATTGCTGCACATTTCTGAGATAAAAGAGTTTAAGTAGATAGTAATGATAGATACATGGTAAAATTAGGCAATAAAAATGGTAAAGATAGAAGAGAAAATTTTCCCATCCTACATAAACTTGGAGAAAGTTTAATTCTGTCTACATGTAAGAGCCTGCTTTGGTTTTTTGTTTTCTTTTTCTTTGACCTAGAGGTTGGCAAATGGGGCAATATATTTAAAATTTCAGTTTCATTGTATCCTCTCCATAAGCATCCTCCAAGGTTGGTCACACCTTCAACCAACTGAAAGGTAATAAGAAGCTCTAGTCTCCAACATGCCACTTGGCCTTATAGAGACAGTCATGTCTGACTCTTTTCAACCCTATAGACTGTAACCTACCAGGCTCTTCTGTCCTTGGGATTCTCTAGGGAGGAATACTGAGTAGGTTGCCATGCCCTCTTCCAGGGTATCTTCCCAACCCAGGGATCGAACCCAAGTTTCCTGCGGCTCCTGCATTGCAGGCAGATTCCTTACCACTGAGCCACAAGGGAAGCCCCTTATAGCGAAGATCCCTCAGCAAATTTACATGGACAGACTAAACGGATGGGGGGTGGTGTGCTGGTGGAGAGTGTGTTGACCTGAAATAAAAAACTTACAGACCTGAAATAAAAGCTTGGGAAGTGATCAGAGCACTAGCATCACTAGCTTCACTGCAGTTGGCATTTCTAGCAGTGTACTCTGAAAAATCAAGAAGTGGTCTGATCTTAGTACGTTATTACCATCTTGAGCTTAAGAAAGAATAAGGGTGGACTTTGTAAAGTTAGGGAGGCGTGTCATAACTACCTTCCCACCTGGAAGGGCTCCCAGAGCAAACGGAACTCCCCCACCCCACCCACCAAAGGAGTGCCTTCCAGGTGGAAAGGCAGTTATGACAGTTGGCAAGTAGAAGGGACAGAAGATAGAAATCAGCTCAACATAAGGAAGAACTTTCTGATCACTATACTGACCTAAAATGAACTGGCCTGCCTTTGGAGGGTCCGAGTTCTTCATCCCAGCAGGCATTCAGATAGAGGCGGGATGCCCACTCAGCAGAAGTATCACAGAATGGTATCCGGAGTGGGGGAGGCGTTGGGGGGTGGGGGAAGGTTACCTGTGCTCAGCTCTCCCCTCCCTGGGAAGGCTCTCCCAGAACTCAGGGTGTTTTCTCCTTTGGTTGTTTCCTGGCTATCACCACCAAATCGCTACCAGTAGAAAAGAGTAGTTAACACATTATACAGCATTTCTGAAATCGAGGTCCAGAGTTACTTACATTAATATTGCCATGTAATTGTACAAAATGACCCTGGACCTGCTAAATGAGAATCTCTGGGGGTGGGACCTGGGAGTCTGTATTTTAATATGTTTTCTAGGTGATTCTTCTCATTAGTAAAGTTTGAGAATCACACTGGCTTAGTGGTGAAAAGCACCTTTAGAGGTTCAAATCCTGCCTCTACTGCTTACTCACTAGATGATCTTGGATGTCTTAAGTTCTCTGGGTCTTAGTTTCCTAGTCTGTAATATGGGGATATTAATCAGTTCCAGCCTCCCAGGGGTTTTGTGAGATGAAATCAGGTAATGTGTGTAAAGCACTTAGCACCTTGTTAGCGGCTGTGTTACAAATAGAAGATAATGATAGTCTCATCGAGCCAGGACCGTCCTGCAGGGCCACACCCAGCAGGCTTGTGGATCTCAGAGGGATGTGCAGGAAAATTATCTGTGGTTTGTCTCAGTGCTGATTCCAGGGCCCTAGCCGCTGTTCTGGGAAGGGGCCTTAGAATCTGTATTTTTATTATGTTCCATAAGAGGCTCTGACAAACATCAAGTTTGTAACAGTGTGTTTCCTTACTGCAGCACAGTGCCTCTGTGGTCAGACCGACCCACTTCCTCCCCTAAACAGCTGTATGGCCTTGAGCAAATTACTTAAGCTTTCTTGCCTCCAATTCTCATCTGTAGAAAGGTTATAATAATCTCCACTTCATAGCATTATTTTACAAATAAATGTAGGGAAAGCATTTGCCAAAGTGCCTAGCACACCATAAGTGCTGGATAGATCATTGCTAAAATGCAAGCAAAATGCAGCCTCATTAGTGTTAATTGAAAACATTACTATTATTAAGCCCTTCCTGAGTTAATAAAAGGTTCTGGTCTTTGTTTTCCATTCAGTGTCAACTGAAACACTGAATTTATCTTTTTAGATACAGTTGTTTAAGACTGCTATTTATTGATTAAGAAAAACATAGGCCAAATGAATTTTTGTTGTTGGTACAGTTGGCAGCCATGAACACCCTCGTCTTCTTGGGTCTTTGCAGAGGGGGACATTCAGACGCTGTGCCTCTGATACAAGAGATTAAGTACAAATGGAAATTTTTTCATCCCACTTTCTGCTTTGTAAAGTATTTGACTTAACATTGTCTGTAGGAGGCAATTCTGGTTATTTTTACCTGTCTGATTGACGGCTGGCAACATGGAAATTTGTTTTAATTCTAGATTTCTAAGATGTTGAGCCTGACAGGGGAGTTAACTCTCTTAGTTCAGGGAGGATGGGTCCAAGCCATCACTGGCCTTGGGCTCCAGTGGCTCAGGATCCCCCAGCTGATAAGGGTACACGTGGGTTTCTCTCTCTCTTTTGTTACGGCCCAGGTACCATTACTATGGCATCGCAGTGAAGGAAAGCTCCCAATATTACGATGTGATGTATTCCAAGAAAGGAGCTGCCTGGGTGAGCGAGACAGGCAAGAAAGAAGTGAGCAAGCAGACGGTGGCGTATTCACCCCGGTCCAAACTTGGAACATTGCTGCCAGAATTTCCGAATGTCAAAGATCTAAATCTACCGGCCAGTCTGCCAGAGGAGAAGGTGAGCACACCTGCAGGACTGCTGGAGTGGGTGGGTTCTCTCTCTCTCACAAACACACCACACTGTCACACACCACACCCACACGCCACACACATACACACCACACACACACCACACACACACCACGCTCACACACCACACACATACACCACACACACACCACACCCACACACACCACAGACACACACCACATACACCACACTCTCACATACCACACCCACACGCCACACACATACACACCACACACACACACCACACTCTCACATACCACACCACACACACCACACACACACCACACTCACACACCACACACATACACCACACACACACCACACCCACACACACCACAGACACACACCACATACACCACACTCTCACATACCACACCCACACGCCACACACATACACACCACACACACACACCACACTCTCACATACCACACCACACACACCACACACACACCATACTCTCACACACCACACCCACACACACCACACTCACACACCCCATTCACACACACCACACTCACATGCACCACACACACATACCACATTCACAGGCGCCACACTCATCTTCACCACACACACACACACCACACTCATACACACTTTTATTGCAAAATAGTGAGTTTAAAAGTACAAGGACAGAAATCTGAATCAAGTTGGTCCGTTAGTTGTGACAAAGGTAGCCTCCCAAAGCAAGATGTTAACAGTAGAGGTGATGGGGTGTGAGGTATACAGAGCCTGCCGAAACTACCTTCATAACTGTCCTGCAAACCCAATCCTACTCTAAAATAAAATGTTCACCCTCTCCCTATCCAGCTTGTCTACCTACCCACCCATCTACGATGCTGCACTGGTCTCATTTCACAAGGGGAGGGCCCCCTCCTCTGCATAGCTCTTTCACAGGATTAAGTTTATTTTCCCAAGGATGCAGAGGATGTGGTGACGTCGCACTCCCACAGAGAAAGAAGATTTTAAAGGTGGTAGTGATTCAGATAGTTTGGGCCATGGTATTGGGGAGAAATAACTGGAAACACCAATTTGGAGACTCTCTCCTGGGTGACACCGTCCTAAGTGATCTTTTTTTTTTAATGGGAGTATAGTTGCTTTATAATGTGTTTCTGCAGTGACTCAGTTATATGTACACATATATCCCCTGTTGTTTTTTTATTTTCTTCCCGTTTAGGCCATCATATAAGCATTAAGTAGAGTTCCCTCTGTTCTACAGCATAATGTATCTATCTTGATGTGGCCCAGGGTACCAGTAGGTGTTGAGTTTCTACATATCACACCAGAATGCAGTGATGAACGAGGCTTGACTCCTGCTGTCAGGAAGCTTACAGTCAAGCCAGGGAGACAGATGCTTATACAATCAAACTAAGTTTGTATAAAACGTATATCTATGTTCTCAAACAAAAAGAAAAAATAAATCCTTATTTTCTCAAATTTGCTTTTTTTTCTCAGCACACTTCCTGCACCATTGCTTTAAAATTCTTGGAAGAGTGAAGCTAGAGATGCAATTCTTTTGCTAAGCAGATTGCAGAGAATTCCCAAATGTCTTTTTTGTGATTTTGGCAAAAGCACCTCTTCTTATAGATATAGGCTGGATGTTAACTTTTCAGTATCTCAGCTGATGAGAATTTAATCCAGTAGGCCTTACTGAACTCTATCTACAATGTGCCAGACACTGCACTAAATGCTTGATACACAAGCATGAATAATGTGCTATTTTTATTAGCATTTTCCCCAAATCCACAGTAGGGATAGACATGGAGCAGAGAGAGAAAGCTGTGCTTTCTCTACAACAGGGTGAGTGCTCTGAGAAACATTCGGGTGCTGTGGAGCACAGAGGAGGGCGCAGAGGGTCAGAGGCCCCACCTAAGGAAAATGAGTTTCTTGGTACCTTACAGGATGCATCCCCTCAACAGAGAATAAATGACTTGAAATTCCAAGGGCAGCAGTAATGTGTATTAATGCATGCTTTTATTGTTGATCCTTCCCCACCCCCACAGGTTTCTACCTTTATTATGATGTACAGAACACACTGTCAGAGAATACTGGACACTGTAATAAGAGCCAACTTTGATGAGGTAGGTCAATAAGTGTTAGGCTGTGAATACTCTGCATTAAAATATTATATTACAATAACACTAGCTTTGACTAGTTTCCAGGTCTCTAGAAGCCCTTGATGTACATTAGCTCTCTGAATCCTCAGTGATCCCAGGAAGCAGGCACTATCATTACCCCCATTTTATAGATTTTCTGTGTGGGCAGTAGCTGGCATGGCTTTTTCCTTGTTCTAATGAGTGAACCTCATCCTGCCCAGTTGGCCTGCTGGGAACCCAGTTTTGTCAAGGTATCATTATGCCAGAATTATACATTCAGAAAAACTAAAGGAAAGCTTGTCTATATTTCGGTTTAAGCTTTTCCTGAGGCTTATCTGCTTCAGTGCATTTGGAGTTGATTACCTCTGTTCTCAAGTTCTGGTCCCTGTGTCCATCTAACACTGCCCATAGGGCCATCTTTGAATACAAACAGTGTAAGGATTTAATTTTTATTTTAAAATATTATAGTTAAAGAATGGAGAGAAATGAGAGGATAGAAGCACTGGTTATATAAACAGAGGCAATAAAATATTCTTGTCTAAAATGCCATCCAAAAGAACTTTCCAAAAGGATGTCGGAAACCACACATTTCACCCCATAACGTGAGGCCATTCTGTTTAAAGAAAATGCCTTTCAGACAAAAACAAAAACAAAAACAAATAAAACCACCTGGGATCAGACGTGGACATTGAATCTGAGGGAAGACGACCTAGACTCTGGGCTTCCCGGATAGCTCAGCTGGTAAAGAATCTGCCTGCAATGCTAGAGACCGCAGTTTGATTCCTGGGTGGGGAGGTTCCCCTGGAGAAGGGATAGGCTACCCACTCCAGTATTCTTGGGCTTCCCTGGTGGCTCAGATGGTAAAGAATCCGCCCGCAATGCAGGAGACCTGGATCCAATCCCTGGGTTGGGAAGATTCCTTAGAGGAGGGCATAGCAACCCATTCCAGTATTCTTGGCTGGAAAATCCCCATGGACAGAGGAGCCTGGTGGCCTACAGCCCACAGGGTCACTGAGAGTTGGACATGACAGAGTGACTGAGCACAGCACAGCCTAAGCTCTAGAGGGGCTGCAAGAATTGTTGTTATTGGTGAAAAAATGCATGAGGTTTCCTTTTGTAGAGTGGGGGGTTCGTGTGCTGTTGGAGATGGAGGGGACAGGATGAGGTAAGGCAGTGAAGACTTGTTGAGCTGTATCTGTGCTGAGCTTGTTGAGCTGGTGTCTGTGCTGAGCTCGTTGAGCTGGTGTCTGTGCTGAGCTTGTTGAGCTGGTGTCTGTGCTGAGCTTGCTGAGCTGGTATCTGTGCGGCTCCTTACCCTGTTCCCTCTGGAGCCTGCTGCAGCAGTGGTATCCCCATATATGAGCTGTCACTTGGTTCACAGACACAGCTCCAGAAGAGGGGGCCATGTGTTGATAGAGTAGGACTCTTCTTCCTGCTCTTGACTTTTATCCACTAGGTTTTTAAATCTCCCAAATTCCTTCTGTGACCATTTAAGTGGAATTTTTTGTCTCATAGAAAGAAAGCTCATTGCTTTCTCTCATACTGTGGTTTGGCTATGCCTTACATATCAAAGAACCCTGAGATCTGGGCAAATCATGACTCATGATCGATTAAGAAAACAATGGCTTCTGTACCACACAAGCCCCAAGTCTCAACACAATTTGACAAGACATGTCACAATCCAATGTGGACACCCTCGATTGGATGGCTGGTTGCTGGGGGTGGTTCAGGGACCCAGGCTCCTCCTACCTTATGGCTGTACCCTGCCCTAGAGTCTCGGCATCCTTTTTGTTCAACTGATGGATCCAAGAAAAGGATTACAGGGAAGACATCCTCCCTTCTTGAACTCTTTGGCCCAGAGATAAGATGCATCACTTTTGCCCATATTCCATTGCTAAGAGCAGGTAAGAGCAGGTCTCATGGCACTCCCCCCACTCACCTCTGCTTCTTGAGGTAAGGGGAGCTGGGAAGTGTGACTCCTCTCTGGGCAGCAGCTTATTTACTAGAGGAGATCTAGTGGTCCCTCTCTGCCACAAGTACTCACAACAAAACTGGTGATAGTCTTCCCTTAACATTCTTATCAATACGTACTCATTGTCTCCCTTCACTGGCTTCCATTTCTTAATTCTGACATTTATTGGGCATCTAATGGCATACACTGCAAGATCCCAGGAATGGGGTGGTAAGATAAGCCTCGAAGGGAAAAAAGTCATGCATACCAGTAACTCTGGAGGAGAGAATGGCAACCCACTCTAGTATTCTTGCCTGGAAAATTCCATGGACAGAGGAACCTGGCAGGCTACAGCCCATGGAGTCACAAAGAGTTGGACACCACTGAGAAACTAACATACACCAGCAGTTAGGATGCAGAATATATGGTGAGAGGTCCAGAAACCTTGTGAGGGCTTGAGTGTTCCTGTGGGAGAAGGGCCAGACTGGGAGCTCAGGCTTGGATTCAGGATGTGGCTCAATTCCTCATCCTAGGAATGAAGATAAAAATACCATCCTGCCTATCCAGTTCACAGGATTGTTGGAAGGAGGAGATGAGACAATGCCTGGTAAAAGGTCATACAAATGCTTGCTTTTATCAGATATGTTAATCAGAGAGTTAAGGGAGGTCACACAGTTGGTTAGATCTTTATCATCTAACACTGCTGGTCCAGTATTCTTTCCACCCCACTGGCAGGGGTATTTGGTGGCTGTTTTTGAGGTGGTTGATGAAAATGTGGTTGATTCTACCCAAACACAAAAAGAATGAAGGGGGATATTTTACCTCTGAAGAGAATGGCTTTCTCTCCTACAGCTGAGAAAAGTCATCGGTAAATAGATGGTGGATGTCTCTGGTACATTTTGATGATATTGTTTGTTTCAGATCTTCAAGATCTTTAATATCCATTGAGGTCACAATGTATGCTAGTATCACAGTCTTAAATTACCTTGTTTCCTTGTTCATTGTTTGTCTCCTGCCACCAGAACAGAAGCCCTTGAGGGCAGGGATCTTGTTTACTACTGTATCCAGGTCAGCTATACTCTCAGGCTCTCAGTAAATATTTCTTGAGTGGGTGAGTAGATGAATTGATGGATGATGGATGGATGGAAGACCTCCACAGACTTACAGCATTATCAGGAGAGTACAAAGAAGCCAAGTCTGCATGTAGGGGCCTTCCTGTAAAGCCTTCTCCTAACTACATTGCACAGAGAATTGTAAGCTCAGATAGCCCTGTGTTTGCGTCTCAAATCCACCACTTAACAGCCTGTGACCTTGAGTAAGGCACTTAACCTTTGTGAGCCTCAGTTTCTTTTACTGTAAATGGAGGTAATAGCTGTATCTACCTCATAGTAAAATTGTGATAATTATATGAAAATTGTATAAAGTATCTAATTTCAAACTGAGAGCATAATAACTACTAGCTATTGTTTTGTCAAGTTCCTTTTAACATGATAGCAATTAAGTACCCATGACTGGAAATCATCAGATATGTTTCCACAAGATGCCAATATACCAGGAATAAAGTAAGTATGGACATGGAAAAGAAATAGAAAACTTACCTAGGTATTCTTAGGGAAATCATCTTCTGATGCTTTATTGAGCAAAGAGGGAAAAGGCTGAGAATTCAAGGGACTAAAGTAGATAATCCAGAAAACTTGTTTTAAATAATCATTTTCAATCATTTACCTGGCATTTTATAAATAATCTTATTTCATCCTACTGATAGGTAAACAACATCTCCCTCTTGTTAAAGCTGATAACTTCTCTTATTTACATAATTATTTAGTCCCTAGCTCCAGATTCAACTGACTTGCCATCTAACATACATGGCCTAATTAGAGCTCTGACTTTCCACCCTAAATCTGTTTTTCCCAAGTCTTAGATAGCCACTACCACACACCCAACTGCTCAAACCACAAACCTCAGTTCTTCATATCTAGTCTATCAGAATGTCCTGTTGACTCCACTTCCTGATAGGAACACCGTGTCTGTTCATTCCACACCTAACTTCCAAGTATCAGCCCTTGAGCTTTGCAGTGTTTTCCCTCCTTCTGAGGAACCAGCCCGTTGGACACTGTTGTTGTTCAGTAGCCCAGTCATGTCCGGCAGACATTAAATGCTCTTAAATGCAGCGTAGCAAGAGAGGTTGAAACTGGATAACACGGCCTCTACAAATGCCGCTCCAGTGACAGAACTGACGGCGGCTCCCAGTGCCAGACAGACTTGAGAAAGACAGATGGCTGCTCGTGCGAGTGATCTTCGACAGATTTGTTTTAATGCACACAGTCGCTGATGCTTTCCAGAATTTCTGCTGGAAACCGACTCATAAAAAGAGAGTAGGGCTACATGCAAGGAGAACTTAGAAAGACAAATGAATTCGGAATCTACCAAATATTAGGAATCAACTGGGCAGTGCTTCTTATTCAGAGTTGGAAGGGCAGGCAGGGAGGCCCAGGACCTGGTCAGAGGCCAATATCCTGGGATGACATGCGATCTGGGGACAGCAGAAGGTTGTCTGGAGGGCGAGTACCTTGTCTAAGAGATGTGGCCATCTCCAGGCCCATGTCAGCTAATAGCCGTCTGGTGTCCCAATGACAACAAGAGCCTTGATGGGTGAGCAGAGCCACCAAGGAGATCCTGGCTGGGTGATGCTCAGAAACTTAGGCGACGGTGTCTCAAGTGTTTATGGCAGTACAGTGATTTCTTGGGGCTTCCCAGGTGGCACTAGTGGTAAAGAACCCACCTGCCAATGCAGGAGACATAAGAGATGTGGGTTTGATCCCTGGGTTGGGTTGATCCCCTGGAGAAGGGCATGGCAACCCATTCCAGTATTCTTACCTGGAGAATCCCATGGACTGAGGAGCCTGGCGGGCTATAGTCCGTAGTCAGACATGACTGAAGTGACTTAGCACGTATGCATGCACTGATTTCTTGTGTCTGGAAGTGATAGTGCCTCCATAATATAGTAATAGTAATAGAATTTAACCTTTATTAGGCATTTATTATGTGCCAACCACTATAATAAGTACTTTTGGAGGAATCTTTACCAAAATCTAGTTAATACTATTTTAATTCCAATTTCACTGATAAAGAAACTGAGGCATAGAGATATTACCCCTCTAGTTGGTAGTGGGGACTTAAAGGCAGTCTTCACTCATCTGATTTTTTTGTTGTTGTTGATTTTAATTTTCAATCTGGTTGAAAACTTTGCCATATTTTCACTATCATGGAATTAGCAGAACTGTGACTTGAGTTTTACAACGTACAAACCTGACCTCCTTCACCTTGATCATGTTTTTGGCAATTAACCATTTTCCCTCTAGGAAGTCAGGGGGCATGCTTTTCTCTCTGTTCCTCATCCACCAAGCCTCCCATCCAGTGTTTACACTGAGAAGTCCAGCCAGGCCATGGACATCAGGACAGTCTATCCACCTAAGGCTGAGCTGATATCACCAGGCTGGGGTCAGAGGTAACCTGTAAAGAGGAAAGCAAGACCCCACTCCTGATAAGGGCTTGAAGGACATCTGCAGGTTCTCAGGGTGTGGCCAGAAAGCTGGGAGGCAGGTGACAGTCCAGGGGAGCCATAGCTCTCAGGAATGGGATAGAAGTCCAGTTACCAAGAAAAGAGCAAAGTAGCCACGAGATTGATTTATGGAAAGATAGGCAGACTTGCGCTCTATCCATCCATTCCCTGACTCACTGTCTGGCTTTGGACAAATAAGTTAATCTCTACAAAATGGGAGCAGCAATCCTTAGCTGTAGTATCAACTGAGAGTAACTGTGCTAAGCTTCTGATGTATAGTGGCACTCAATAAATACATAATGCCGACACCAATAGTTACACCACCTCCAAAGTGTTAGCTTCAAGTACTGAATTACTTCCTGCTTTGGATCAAGATCGACTTATGGAACCAGGGATATAGACAGTGCTGTGCATGGGGTTCAGGAGTGCCCATCCTTGGAGGAAAGAATGATACCTGGTCTAGGAACCAAGTCAAACTTAGAAGAATTCACAGCAATTCAGTTATTTCTTCCCTAACCTTCAAATGAGTCATTCCTCAATGTTAGTTGCGTCTCTTTGTGACCCTGTGGACTGTAGCCCTCCAGGCTTCTTTGCCCCTGGAATTCTCCAGGTAGGAACGTGAAATGGTGTGCTGTGGTTAGTTGCTCAGTTGTGTCCGTCTCTTTGCAACCTCGTGGACTGCAGCCCACCAGGCTCCTCTGTTCATGGGGATTCATCAGGCAAGAATATTGGAATGGGTTGCCCCACCTTCCTCCAGGGGATCTTCCCAACCCAGTGATCGAAGCCAGGTCTCTCACATTGCAGCCGGATTCTTTACCAACTGAGTCACCAGGGAAGCCCAGAGTGGGCAGCCTATCCCTTCTCCAGGGGGCCTTTCCAGCCCAGGGATCAAACCTGGGTCTTTACGCTGCAGGTGGATTCTCCACTGTCTTAGCCACAGGGAAGCCCCTTGAAAATGTTATTATACGAACTGAGTAACATCCTCAACTCTGTCCCTTCACTGCCTTTGTCTTGTCCCACCCCTCCACCCCCTCCACTGCTCTCTCACTGACCTCCAGCTCACACCCTGGAAGACAGAGGTGTAGGGAGGGGCCTGCCATCCTGGTATTTACAAGAATAATTCCATTTTTGAGTGCCTACTAGATTTCTGCTCTGTGCTAGTGGTTAGAGCTGTGGGTTGGGGTGTTGTCATAGCTTACCATCCAGATGTCACCATCTAGCATCCCATAACAACAGCCAGCCAAGGCTGCACCAAAGGCTCTTTGAGAAAACGGTAGACTCTGGATACAAAGAGGCCCTTGCAGTTTATCAATTTTGGGGGCACATGTGCATCAGGAGACTTCAGTTTGTGGCACCTACTCTCTTTTCCTTCTAGACACATTCCTTTTACCAGCAGCTCATACACTGTTCTCTTCCTTTCCAGAACTCTTTGGGGCCCCCAGGGCACCAACAGACTCAAAGAGTAGTTCTAGTGCTTGCTGCAAGCTTTTTAGAAGCCATGTCCCACTTTCCCTTTCTTAACCTTTTTACGCAGACCCCAGTAAGCATGAAGGGGCCAATGGGGTGACAAGCTACTCCTCTCTCCCAGGGCAGAGCAGACCCCAGGCTGCCAGGCCAGGTGCTCCTCCCACAGGGGGTATGCGCACCGATGGCCAGGGTCAGGACTTGGGATGGGAGAACCTTCCAAAGCTCCTAATCCACCCCAGGCTGAGACAGCCTCTGCGTCTGCAGGGGGAGCAGAGAAGAGCACTGTGGACTGGAGTGGCCTTGGCCAAGTCCCCAGGCTCTGCTGGGAGGGCCCGGTGTAACCTCACGGTTCTTCTCCTCTCTGTGGGTCGATACAGGTTCAAAGTTTCCTTCTGCACTTTTGGCAAGGAATGCCGCCCCACATGCTGCCTGTGCTGGGCTCCTCCACGGTGGTGAACATCGTCGGCGTGTGCGACTCTATCCTCTACAAGGCGATCTCCGGAGTGCTGATGCCCACCGTGCTGCAGGCGCTACCTGACAGGTGGGCACGCTTTTTCTCCTCGCACCGTGTGGCAGGTCCTCGGCCACTTCTCAGTTATGGAAAACAACTGTGCCTTCTTTGGGGTCCTCCCTTGTAAAGATCACTAATTTTGTTGTTGCTGTTCAGTTGCTGTCATGTCTCACTCTTTGCAGTCTCATGGGCTGCAGCACACCAGGCTCCCCTGTCCTCCACTATCTCCCTGAGTTTGCTCAAGTTCATGTCCATTGAGTCAGTAATGCTATCTAACCATCTCATCCTCTGCCGCCCCCTTCTCCTTTTGCCTTCAATCTTTCCCAGCATCAGGGTCTTTTCCAATGAGTCAGTTCTTTGCATCAGGTGGCCAAGGTATTGGAGCTTCAGTTTCAGCATCAGACCTTCCAATTAATATTCAGGGTTGATTTCTTTTAGGATTGATTAGTTTGATCTCCTTGCTGTCCAAGGGATTCTCAAGAATCTCCTCCAGCACCACAATTTGAAAGCATCAGTTCTTCAGCACTCAGCTTCTTTATGGTCCAACTCTAATGTCTATACATGACTACTGGAAAAATCACAGCTTTGACTGTACAGACCTTTGTCAGTAAAATGATGTCTCTTCTTCTTACTACACCATCTAGGTTTGTCATAGTTTTTCTTCCAAGGAGCAAGTCTTTTAATTTCATGGCTGCAGTCACCACCTGCAATGACTTTAGAGCCTCCCCCCCTAAAAAAATATCTGTCATTACTTCCACTTTTTCCTCTTCTATTTGCCATTAAGTGATGGGACCAGAGGTCCTGATCTTAGTCTAATGAATGTTGAGTTGTAAGACAGCTTTTCCACTCTCCTTTCCCTCTCATCAAGAGGATTTTCAGTTCCTTTTCGCTTTCTGCCACTAGACTGGTATCATCTGCATATCTGAGATTGTTGATATTTCTCCTGGCAATTTTGATTCCAGCTTGTGAGTCGTCCAGTCTGGCATTTAGCATAATGTACTCTGCATAGAAGTTAAATAAGCCGGGTGACAATATACAGCCTTGACATACTCCTTTCCCAATTTTGAACCAGTCCCATGTTTCATGTCTGGTTCTAACTGTTGCTTCTTGACCCGCATACAGGTTTCTCAGGAGACAGATAAGGTGGTCTGGTATTTCCCATCTCTTTAAAAATTTTCCACAGTTTGTTTGGATCCACATAGTCAAAGGCTTTAGCATAGTCAATGAAGCAGAACTGGACTTTAAATTTTAAAGTATAAGACATTAAATTTTATTTATATTTTTAAATATAAGTAAAGAAGTTTAATATTTTAAACCACTTGTACCTTTCAAAAATCTCCTGCGGTCCAGTGGTTGGGACTTCACTCTCCAGTACAGTGGATGTGGGAGCTTCCCTGGTGGGGGAGATAAGACCCCACTTGCCATGCAGCCTGAAAACAAAAAACATAAAACAGAAGCAATATGGTAACACATTCAATAAAGACTTTAAAAACTGGTCCACATTAAAAAAAAAGTCTTAAAAAACAAATACAAAACATTTAAAAAATTAAAAAAGTATGACATGATACACAGCGAAATGTCTCTGTTCTACTCTTCTTCCTGACACCCAGGTCCCTGCCCACAAAACATCAAATATAAACATTTCCTTTTGGCGGGGGGGCATCCAGATCTGCTATTAACATGTACCCAGTGCATGACATACTTTTTATTTTTTTAATTTAATTTTATTTTTAATTGGAGGATAATTACTTTACAATATAGCGATGGTTTCTGTCATACATCAACATGAGTCAGCCACAGGGATACATACCCATGTCCTCTCCCTCTTAAACTTCCCTCCCACCTCCCGCTCCCCATCCCACCCCTCTCGGTTGTCACAGAGCACCAGCTCTGGGTTCCCTGCATCATACAGCAAATTCCCTCTGGCTGTCTGTTTTACAACTGGTAAGGTACATGTTCCAATACTACTCTCTCAAGCCTTCCCACCTTCTCCCTCCCCCACTGTGAACAGTCTGTTCTTTATGTCTGTGTCTCCTTTGCTGCCCTGAGAATAAGTTCATCTGTACCATCTTTCTAGATTCCGTGTATATGCGTTCATATACAGTATTTGTTTTTCTCTTTCTGACTGACTTCACTCTGTATGGGCTTCCCTTGTGGTTCAACTGGTAAAGAATCCGCTTGCAACGTGGGAGACCTGGGTTCGATCCTTGAGTTGGGAAGATCCCTGGAGAAGCGAAAGGCTCCCCATTCCAGTATTCTTGCCTGGAGAATTCCATGGACAGTCCATGGGGTCTCAAAAAGTCAGACATGACTGAGCAACCTTCACGCACTTCACTCTGTATAATAGGCTCTAGTGACACCCTGTATATGCTGTTTTCTACCTGGTTTCTAAAAGGAACAAGTCTTGAAGATTGTGTTGGACAGCTTCTGTGCCCCGGCAGAGGAAGGCTCCGCTGTCTTCTGTGCCGCCTTCTGCCCTGGGAGGTCCAGGGGGGAAGGGTGGATGGTGTGGCGCCCCCGATGGGGCTCCATTTCCCTGTGGCTTCCAGCTCAGATCAGCCAGTGTGAGGGCTGGGGGCCAGAAGGAGGGAGAAGAGTGAAGTCAGGAGATGGCCTCTCTGCCCCCCTCCCTGTGAGGTCACCGCTGGCTGGCCACGTCCTCCTGGGGCTCTGCGCCCGTTCAGGCAGCCTCTCTCTCTCTCCCTCCACGCTGTCCTTCGGGTGTGAGTGGCTGACAGCCTGCTGGCCCTAACCCGGGTTGCCGCAGTCAGCCTTATGGGTTCACCTATGCTTATCCATGCCTTTATGACTTGTCCCTTATAAATAAACTCCACTATTTTGAGTGGCATCTGTTTCCTGATGGGACTGTTACAGAGAGCATTCTACATCCACCTATAATGAGGTTTGTTTTTTTCTTCTTTTTTAACACCTGCATATTGTGCCTTTGTGTTGAGTTGAATTTGTTGTCTTGATGTTCCCATCTTGTCCCACTACTGTACAGGGCTTTGATGAATAATGTTCTCAGGACATTCTCCTATATGGTGCAGTTTGTTAGTTTCCTAGGGGTGCAGCAACAAAAAGTACCACAAACTGGGTGGTCTGAAAACAAACAAATATATTGCCTCACAGTTCTGGAGGCTGGAAGTCTGACATCAGGGTGCTGTCAGGGTTGATTCCTTGGGCTTCCCAGGTGGCGCTCATGGTAAAGAACCCACCTGACAATGCAGGAGACATAAGAGACGCAGGTTCGATCCATGGGTCAGGAAGATCACCCTGGAGGAGGGTGTGGCTACCCACGGCAGTATTCTTGCCCAGAAAGTCCCACGGACAGAGGAGCCTGGCAGGCTGCAATCCATGGGGTCGCAGAGTTGGACACGACTGAAGTGACTTGGCGCACAGGGTTGGTTCCTTGCAGAGACTGAGAGGAGATCTGTCCCACACCTCTCTCCCAGCTTCTGATGGCTGCCGTCGGTCCTGGGCATTCCTGGTTTGCAGCTGCACTGCTCGTCTCTGCCTCCATCTTCACACTGACCCCCACTCTATGTCTCACTGTCTCTTGTCATTGGCATTGGATTTAGGGCCCACCCAGTTAATCCAAGGTTTCATCTCAAGATCCTTAATTTAATCACATCTCTAAAAACCCTTGTATCAAATAAGGTCAACTTAATGGGTTCCAGTGGACTTATTTTGGGGGAAACAACCCTTCATGCTACTGCACTGAGTATGCATGCAGGATCAATTCCTAAAGGGCTCAATTCCTAGTTCAAAGCCTATGTGACTTAAACTTTTCTCAGTGAAGTTTTAATTTGCATTTATCTTATTATGAATGGCGTTGAATATCCCTTCATGCCTTTAAGAGTGATTTTTATTTCTTTCCTGTGAACTCTCTGCTCTTAATCTTTTTCTATTTGGTAGTTGATGTTTTTCTCATTGATTTTTAAGATCATTTTAATTTTTAGGGATATTAACCATTTATCTGTAATAAGAGTTGCAAATATTTTCTCATTTTGCTCTTTTATTTTTGCCATACAGAAAATGTATTCGCGTAGTTGAGTTTATCAGCCCTTGTTTTTATGGCTTCTGGATTTTGTATCATTGTTTTAGATCTCTTCCCCACCTCAATTACAATACAATTTTCCCATGGCTTATCCCACAAAACTTATTGTTTAATTTTGTACCTTTGAACTTTTATTCAATTTATAATTCATCCTTGTGTAAGATGTAAAGTATGCCTTTTTCCCCCAGTAGTTCTTCTTATCCCAATACATATGTTAATTTTTCTATCTTCTATTCACAGATTTAAGGTGCCTTCTATTTTACGTAGTAAATGTTATACATATTGGTACTATTTCTAGCTTTCCTAGCCTATACCATTTATATTGCTGTATATTCATGTTCTGTGCTTCCCAGGTGGTGCTAGTGGTAAAGAACCCAGCTGCCAATGCAGGAAACAAAAGAGACGTGGGTTCAATTTCTGGGTTGAGAAGATTCCCCTGGAGGAGGGCATGGCAACCCACTCCAGTATTCTTGCCTGGAGAATCCCATGGACAGAGAGGAGACTGGCAGGCTATAGTCTATGGAGTCACAAAGAGTTGGACATGACTGAAGCGACTTAGTACACACCCACACATATTCATGTTTCAGGGTCACACTATCTTTAAGCTCTGTGCTTTAAAATGTATTTTAATATTTGATAGGCTAGCTCCTCATACTTACTTTCTTTTGTAGAATTTTCCTCTTACTGTCAACACAATGGCATGGTGGTTTTAAGTGTTTGTGTGTGCATGTATGTACATATTGAATATATATACATATTTAAAACTTTTCAGTTAGAAATGCATACTCTGTTTTTAGGGGTGAAATGATACAACATCTTGAATTTGCTTAAAACACTCTAGAAAAGAAAGAGCAGCATGTTGTAAATCAAACCAGCAAAATGTCTCTAATTATTGATGCTGGGTCATGGGTACTTGGAGGTTTAAAGTTTTTCATAATAAAAGTGTTAAAAGCAAAACTTAACAGAAAGTAGAGTGCCCACTGAAATAGAGAACACAAGAAAAGAACTGGGTCTGATGGGGAAATGATGAATTCTGTTTGAACGTGTTTAATTTGATGAATCTTTGAGGGTTTTGAAATGGCGGTGTCTGGAGTTCTGAAGTCATCTGCTCTGAAGATATGAAAGTGAGTGCAGATGGTGACTGAAGCTGCAGGCATGGAGAAACTATCTAGGGAAGGAATACAGCATGATAAGAGCAGGCTAAGGACTAGACTTGGAAGAACTGGAAGACTTAATGGCCAAATAGAGGGGACTAAGCTTTGATCTGGTCCCATCACTTCATGGGAAATAGATGGAGAAACGGTGGAAACAGTGTCAGACTTTATTTTTTTTGGCTCCAAAATCACTGCAGATGGTGATTGCAGCCATGAAATTAAAAGACATTTAGTCCTTGGAAGGAAAGTTATGACCAACCTAGATAGCATATTAAAAAGCAGAGATATTACTTTGCCAACAAAGGTCCATCTAGTCAAGGCTATGGTTTTTCCAGTGGTCATGTATGGATGTGAGAGTTGGACTGCGAAGAAAGCTGAGCACCGAAAAATTGATGCTTTTGAACTGTGGCGTTGGAGACGACCCTTGAGAGTCCCTTGGACTGCAAGGAGATCCAACCAGTCCATCCTGAAGGAGATCAGTCCTGGATTGTTCGTTGGAAGGACAGATGCTAAAGCTGAAACTCCAATACTTTGGCCACCTGATGCGAAGAGTTGACTCATTGGAAAAGACCCTGATGCTGGAAGGGATTGGGGGCAGGAGGAGAAAGGGACGACAGAGGATGAGATGGCTGGATGGCATCATTGACTCAATGGGCTTGAGTTTGAGTAAACTCCGGGAGTTGGCGTTGGACAGGGAGGCTTGGCATGCTGCAATTCATGGGGTCGCAAAGAGTCGGACACGACTGAGCGACTGAACAGAACTGAAGATTTGTGACTGAGGAGAAAGAAGATGGAGGGGTCACAGATACCAAGGGAAGCAAAGGTTTCTGAAAGGAGGAAGGGCTCATAGAACTGAATGCTGTCAGATGTCACAAATCAGAAACAACACGAATCAGAATGAATCCATGGTGTTTGTGTCATGGATGGAGATTGCTGCCTGGGTGGGACCTGTGTGTAGGTGGAGGGACAGGAGTGAGGTGAGGAGTAAATAGGAGGTGAAGAAGAAGAGACAGAGTCTAAAAACAACTGAAGAAGTATGTCTGAGAAGTGGAAGAAAGAGGGCAGTAGCTTGAGGAGACAGAGTGATGAAAGAAGAGGGGTTTTTGTTTTTAAGATGAGATTCTTGAACCCATTAAAACACCAAAAGAAATGATGGAGAGGGAGGAAAATGTGAATAATCAAGAGAAGGGGCAGTCAGAAATGGAAGGTTCCTGAGAAGGCAGGAGGGGAAGAGATGGGGCTGGCTCCTTGATTCCATCAGGAAGGCTGACTTCTTTGGGGGTTTGTTTTCCCTGAGAAGTAGGAGGTGATGCCACCTGCTGGTGGACGGGTTGGCGGGGGGTGATGTTGGGAGATTGGAAGCCTGAGGGGCACCGAGAAGGTTGGAGTAAGTCACAGAACAGGAAAGAGTGAGCGAGCAGAGAAACACAGGACTTTCCAGCTTGGGGGAAGAATCAGAGGGAGACTGAATGAGGGCAGGTAGGTGGTGTTGGTGGAAGGCAAGGATGGTGTGGGTGGTCAGCACAGGGAGAAGTCCTTGTGGCCGGCATGGCTAAGGAGGACCCTAGAGAGGACACTGAACCCAGCGTGAAGGGGGGATTCTTTTGATGGCAAGAGCCTGGAAATGGTGCTCATTGTCTCCTCAAGGGCCAATTCCCATCTCAGATTGCAAGCAACTGCCCCCTCAACCCTTCACCCCTCTGACCCCCCTCCCACCTCCCGCCCTTAAACAGTCCTTGACTTTCCAAATAGGACATGGTTGCAAGGTCTGTGTCAGGATTGTTTTTGTCAGTTTAAAAATGCACGGTTGCTTCCCAGTTCCTGCCAAGAGGAAGCATCTGAGCAAGCCCAAGCCCCGCTGGGTGTGCAGGCGTGGCGGTAAGTGGCAGGCGCGGTTCCTGCCCTGCTGAGGGGCTTGGATAAGACTGGGCAGCCCGAAGAGGAGACTGCAAAGTGCAAATGGTGCTCTCAGGCCCACAACCCACTCTCAACACCCCTCCCACAAGCCTCTTCCAAACTGTGAAGGATGGAGTCTTAACTCGCAGAGTCTTAGACCCGCCAAGCCTTGCAGCGGGCTTTTCCCCACCTGTGTACGTATGTCTCCTCGTCCACCGGCGTGAGCACTGCCGCATGCTCTGTCTGCGCCCTTCTCAGACCCACTAGCTCTCCTCAGGGCTTGGGCTGCCCGCCCCGTCCCTGGGGCTGCTGCTTTCAGTGACTCCTAATGGTTGCAGTCAAAACACCATCAGAGATGCTGAGACTCTGTAGGGCCCCACAGGGGGGCCTGTGGCCTGTACTGTGGGGAACACATGAGGTCCTTTGTTGCTGTTGTTGTTCAGTTGCTAACTTGTGTCTGACTCTCTTGTAGCCCCCATGGACTGTAGCCTGCCTGCCAGGCTCCTCTGTCCATGGGATTTCCCAGGCAAGAATGCTGGAATGGGTCGTCATTTCCTTCTGCCTGAAATCTTCCCTACCCAGGGATCGAACCCACGTCTCCTGCATTGGCAGGTGGATTCTTTCACCACTGAGCCACCTGGGAAGCCCACAAGGTGCCTACCATGTGTCATTTGTCTTTCTAGCTTGACTCAGGTGATCCGGAAGTTTGCTAAGCAGCTGGATGAGTGGCTAAAAGTGGCTCTCCATGACCTCCCAGAAAATTTGCGAAACATCAAGTTTGAATGTAAGTTCTCAGTTTGGAAGCAGAGGGGAAGGGAGGGTAACATTTTAGTACCAGGCATTTTACACAGGTTGTTAATAAAATAACAATTAGAGCTAACAATTTACTGGTGACTACAAAGCACTGAGTACTATGCTTAGCAGTTTCCATGCATTAATTTAGCTAATCCTTACAAAATGTTTATTACGGGTGGCACACCTCTCCTTTACAGAAAATGAAACAGGCTCAGAGACGGAGTCAGCGGCAGAGGCAGGTCTGTCTGTCTGACGTCCACGTTTCTGCTGTCACCGCCACACTTTTTATTTTAGTTAATCCTCACTCACTCGCTGATGTAGAAAACAATATCCCTCTTCTGCTGATGAGGCTCAGAGAGGCAAAGAAAGTTCCCCAAAGCTACACAGCCACATAGCTGGTAATTAGGGGCCAGAAGTTGAACTCACATCTTTCTGACCCTAAAACTGAGATTTCCCCGAAGCTCCTGCCCACAAAATGGGGCTAACAGAAGACAAAAAACAGTTCAGGGGTCCACATATTTAATTCTCTGCCTAAGGGGAAAGCAAAATTAATATTTCTTACAGGGTACTGGGACTGTGGATCTTTTCTCTGACAAGCGTCACCACTCAGTCCACGAGCATTCATTTTGCCTGAGAAAACTGGGCCTGTTTCTCTGGCTCACTGTGTCTGTACTTGTGGGAAGTCTCACGTGTCGTTAAGTAAAGATGAAATGATTTTAAGCAAAACAAAGTTTTGAGATATATGTTTCTTAGAGCCCCATTTGAATACAGATTGCCATTCTTGCCCGAAATAAGTGCCAGCAAGAAAAATGAAGGAGATCAAATTACCCTCTCTCCACAGGCAAAGGGGGCCCTTTCAGACTCCCTTTGAGGCTGCCTGCCGTGCCCATCACCTATTGATAAAGCCCGCTTTATTTCACGGCTCTCAGTTCTTTTCTTTTCACGAGCACTAAATTCCACATCACAAAGTTAAAGAAAAAGTAATTAAGGAGAAGGATTAACGATTGATCGCCCTGGAAAATTAGAAGTTCATCTGTCCCCCCACCCCACCCACCTACCCCTCATTCCTCCACCCCATGCCCTATTTTTCCAACCAAGCTGGCTCTGAGCACAAATTGGAATAATCCCAGGGAAATTTCTGATTGTTTCTTGACCAGTTCAGAAATTAATGAGAAGAATGCCCCGTGCCCATTTTAATTACGCTGGCAAAACAAACCTGTTGAAAGTCTGAAGCCAGGAGGTTTGTTGCACCTGCCACCTGTCCGTGCCTGGAGGCACCCACTCTCCCCAGGGAGCCTTGGGGGTGCACTTGGAGAACTTACAAGGAGTAGAGACATACACATCTCCAGAGGACTCTGTAAGGACAAAGATCTCGGACTGGCATGTGGCTTCTCTGCTTCAAAATCTACAGATCACCCCACTTCATAGCATCAGCCTGTTATGTTAGCAGAGGACCCAGTCATCAAAACACACCAATAGGGCATGGAGACCGTTGGTTGAAAACGACAGATTGTGAATACAAAGCCATATTCAAGGTGCTGCCCAGGGTTCCATCCTAGAAGCAACCCTGCTCAATCAAGGTTTCCCAGTAGATACACTACTTTTTAAAGGGCCTTCTTCAAAGCTTCCACTCGATTCCTGCAATTATTTATGGGGAGAAGAGATTGAACTTGCAATTAGCGAAATGAAAGACAAGTAAATAATTGCTTTTACTCACGGTTGATTGACGCCACAATTTCTCACACCTGCCAGTGTGGAGTGCAGGCAACTTTGAAATATGTACCCCAAATATCGCCACCTTAGGACATAGTTGTCCAAATGGGAGAACAAAAGAGCAGATGCAGGGTTTCACCAGTGGGTAATCGAAAATAGTGTTGGACTATGAGTTAGGCAAATAAGGAAGCTACTTTTGAAAATCGTCCCTGGAAAATCCCAGGTCAGACCATAAAGCATGCAAGTATTTCACACTCACTCTTTTCTTCTTGCAGTGTCAAGAAGATTTTCCCAAATCCTGAGACGGCAAACATCACTAAATCACCTTTGTCAGGTAGCTGTCCTGTGTTATACGTTCTAACTACTGCTAAGTCATTGCAACTGAGGGGCAAATCCACGGGAAACTCTGGAGAGGCTCCGTCAGGATGTGGCTGTTTAATAGTACACTCTCATGGGACTTCTCTGGCGGTCCAGGGATTAAGACTTCACCCCCCCTCCCCCCCAATGCAGGGGGTCCAGGTTCTATCCCTGGTTTGGGAGCTACGGTCTCACATCCCTTGTGACCACAAAACCAAAACATGAAACAGAGGCAATATTGTAACAAATTCAATAGAGACTTTAAAAATGGTTCCACATCCACTTTTTAAAAAAGTCTTTTAAAAAACACTAGTACACTCTCACTATTATCTTGAATTTCTACAGATGAGGAATTGAAATGTCAGCCCATCACTAAATGGTTTCAGCCAACATAGAAAATAATTTCTGACGTCATTTGTCCATTAACCCTTCAGATACTCTAGGTCTGCAAGCTTGTGTTTTGCTTGAGTATGTCGGGGTTTCTCAGCCACTTTTGCCTTTTGGGGTGGGTGATTCTTTACTGTGGGGAGTTGTTTTGTGTGTTGTAGATGTTTAGTAGCATCCCTGGCCTCTATTTACTCAATGCCAGTAAGGCCACCCACCCCCAAATACCACTTCAGTTGCGATAATCAAGAATGCTTTCACCATTGCCACATGTAACCTGGGGTGGGGTGCTGAATCACCCCAATTTTGTTTTTGCCCCAGATTTCTGTTCTTTTTAGCATGGAAGTGATATGTACTTACTACTAAAAAAAATAAAACTAATAAAAGTATATATAGTAAAAATTAGAAGATCCCACTATAGTTCTATAGTTCTAACTGAAGGCATAAATCTTTGCATTTCTGTTCATTTTGCACCTCAAGGAAGTGAATCTAAGTCTGTTAAGGCAGCCCAAAACATTCATTAAAATATGAATGACTTTAAAGCAGAGGGAACAAACTGGTGGCTACAGGTCAAATCTGGCCCTCAGATGTGTGGCGTTATTTTTGTTGGACTGGCATAGGTTCAAAAATATTTTTTCATTTAGTCACTAACAGTTGAAACTAGGAGATGACAACTAAACACCCATATTTTCTTTAGAAAACTTTTAAGACCTGCAACTCCAGAACTAATTTCCCCAGGGTAGCAAGCAGCTAGATGGGCTGAGCTTCTTCATCGTCACCCCCACTTCCTCTTACGCTTGGCCCACCTCGCTCGTGAGTGTCACCCGTCTGTCTTGTTTATGTGTTCGGGTCTGTAACCTCTCCCTTACACTGTTGGTTTCAGGTTGGTGCTGGTTACTCAAGGTGGTGATGGGGATCTCTAGTTGGAGTGGCCTGAAGGAAGGCTCCAGGCCAGGAACCAGAAAGTATAAAAGTAACCCCCCTCACGCACCCTCCCCACATACACCTCACTGTTCCAGCCCTACCCCTGGAATAAAATGGCACAAGGGTGATTTGGAGATCAGAGGGAGACCCTCCACACTCATGCGGTCATGGTTACTCAAGGTGGTGATGGGGATCTCTAGTTGGAGTGGCCTGAAGGAAGGCTCCAGGCCAGGAACCAGAAAGTATAAAAGTAACCCCCCTCACGCACCCTACACACATACACCTCACTGTTCCAGCCCTACCCCTGGAATAAAATGGCACAAGGGTGATTTGGAGATCAGAGGGAGACCCTCCACACTCATGCGGTCACAGAGGCCACTCCCGGGCACTGTTCCGGGGTAGGGTAGAGCCTCACAGATGAATGGAATTCAGGAAATAAGATGAATATTAACGAAGTAAACACTGCCAGGGTTAGTTTTCAAATCCTACCTCTCTCCATCAAAAGGTTTTAGGACTCAACATAAGTCTGAGGATTCCATTAATATCACTAAACACATAACATCTACACATAAAGATCAAAAGTTTCTTGTTAAATGTTTTCTGCTAAATTTCTATTGCATAAATGTGTATCTTTTTAAACAAAAACAATAATACTTTTATAAAAACAAAATTAGCAATTTGATAGAAGCAAACATTTCCAGCTGTTAAGGATGGCAAATTCTAGTTCATGGAAAGTCATATTCATCATGGGTATTGGGTCTTGGGAATTGTCATTTTTGTCTTTGTAGCTTACATATTTATTAAATATAAAATATTTTAATGTGTGTATAAAATTAATTGATTTGAGATATTCTTTCAAAAAGGAAAAAAAGGAACATTGTCATATTTCTGAGGGTGACTGTCTTCTGGTCCTTTTCCCCAGCTTGGAAGAGCCAATCTTAGGGTCATATCAGGGAAATAGATATGGTTTTAGGACATAGAACTAGACATTTGGGAAGTGTGGAAAGGCTTGACCCTTTAATGTACCATGGAGTAAAAGCATCTACTTGCATGCCCACAACAGCCTACATGCTCATGTGCACACACAGACACACTCTCTCCACTTTCCACACAGACAGTACATAAGTTAATCAGCAATTGCTACCTTTCCATCTTCACTGGACAGCCACCAGACACATTCCTGGACCAGCCAAAGGATCAGGATTAGTGAGGGGGATGAAACATCATGTAACATCTCAGCTAATATCCTGGCGAGCTTTCCTAAACATACACAAAGCAAGTCAGACTTAACAACATCTGACCAAATGCCCACCCCTACCCCCGCCCCCCAGATACTTAAAACCAAGAGCCAAATATTCAGGCCCTTCTGGATACACTAAGGAGGCAACTTGTCATTCATATCTCAGCCATTCATCCCACAAAACCCTTTGAGTGCCTACTGTGTGTACCAGACACTTATGCTTATTATATGCCAGACACTTGGCCTCAGCAGGAAAAAAAAAAAAAACACCAAAATAATGAAAAGTGATAAGTGTTGTGAAGGAAAGTGAGCGGAAATAAAGAATAACCAAGCATTTTAGATCCTATTCAAATGATGTGGCTAGAGAAGGCCTCTGCATGGGCGCTGCCCTTCACTTGGAGCATACATGATGGCCGGGAGGCCAGGGCAGGGTGAGAGGAGAACGTTCCAGCACCTGGAGCAGTCAGTGCAAGGGCCCCTGAGGTGTCAGTGCCCTCCCAGCGGGGCTCTTACTCCCTAAACCGTGCGCCTTGCAAACATTTCCCCAAGGAATATCCAGCAATAGCCCTCCTAAACAGATGCATACTTTTATATCTCTATTTTAGAGGTCAGGAAACTGAAATTAATCTCCTTGCCTGCCTCTGATCAATCAGCTGGTCAGCAGCAAGGTCAGGATTTGAACTCAGTCTGTTTGAATCCAGAATCTGAAATTTCCATATTCAGTTGTTCTCATTATCGTTAGAAATCAACCCAATTCACCTTTCATGTGTTCATATATTCTGGCTGCCTGTGTCCTGCAAAGCGTTCTACACTGATAGGAGGAAGATTTTACCTGTGCTCAGACAGTCTACATGTTAAAGGGGCTGTCAGTATTTACATCTGATTGGAAATTCACGAGCATTAGGAGACTTAAAAGGTCCATGTGTCTTTGAAATCTTGTTTCATTAAAGACATTTTTGAAAACATGCAAGGAAAGGAAATGATTCTGGAAATGTTTTTCTTTCTTTTATCAATATTGTTCCAACTTGCTAGTCCCAACTATTGTTCCGAGTATTGTTCCAGCTCTCAAATTTAAATTCTACTATGAGGATTGCTGGGGAAGCCACAGATTAAACACACATACACTCATATTCACACTTACATTAACAAACCACTCAGCTGTAAGGTATAGTTTTCCTTTTCTTCTATCTCAATTATTCATCTTTGTTTTAGTCATTATAGTCACATAAAAACTGAAAAACAAAAACAAAAAGGTAGACCATAAACTGCTTCAGAATGTATTTAGATGAAAAATACACCTTGTAACATTTCTGAGGCTGAACTCTATCATAGTCCCAAAGGTAGTGGGACCTTTCCAAAATCTGAGCCTGTCAATCATCAGGTGCTAGAGACATGGGTTGTTAAACACAGAGCTCTCACCAACAAGCTCCCATCAGGAGGCTGACAGATCTCTGGGCCTCATCCCACTGTTCCACCGGTTCAAGACCAAAGTTGGGGTGGGAAGGTCGGGGGGAGGAGGGGTGGGGAATAGCAGGTTTGTTCTGGCCTAGGCCACTGTGGGGTAGTTTCTTATAAAGAGAGACACAAGGAGAGAGCCACAGAAAACAGTGTACAGATCTTCCAAGTTACAGGCTCATCTTCCAAGTTTTCTTGAATTTCAAAGCACTTTGCGAAGCACCATGAGCAGATTCATTAAAAAGAACTGAAAGGAAATAAAGGGAAGGGTTTGAACCTAACAACCCATGAGCTAATGAGTTGATTGGATTGGAATTCCAGGCATCTCGAACAGTGATCCACAGTGCAGACATCACGTTCCAAATGCTGGAAGACTGGAGGAACGTGGACCTCAACAGCATTACCAAGCAAACCCTTTACACCATGGAGGACACTCGTGATGAGCACCGGAAGCTCATCATCCAGTGTAAGATGCTCCACCAGGGCGTGTGTCTTTCTATTTGTTTAAAAAGAAAGAGTATGTTGGTAAACAAAGTGGCATTCCCACCCTGTCCTTCTCCCTGGGATCCCATCCCTCCTGTTCCTGTTAAAGGGGTCGGCCCAGGTGGAGGAGCCAGTTGATTTACAAGGACATGGGTCCACACTGCTGGGGAAAATGGGTTCTGGGATATCGGGCAGGACGCAACGTCAGGCAGAAGGCCCCACACAGGACCCTCGGTACCAGCTGCCGTTCCCTGGGTGGCATCAACAAATGAGGAACAAAGCTTGCCACCTCTCTTGGCGTACGTCAGCCTGGAGGCACTGGATGTGCTGCCTGCTCTTCCGTGGAGAATCACGGGAGTCAGCCCACCTATTGGCAGATGGACCTGTCAATCACAGTAGATGTCTAAGAAGGAAGTGGATGGTGACTTACTTCTGTGAACTTGTGGCCCCTGTGGACAAAGACTGGGAGACTATTGCTCCAGATATTATCCTGATGTGGTCGGGTTGCTGTTCTTAGAAGCAGAGGACATGGGAGGACTACAGAACATCACCATCCTAAACATATTTGTGCTTTCCTTCGACAGCCCGTCACAGCCTCTGCCGGGGAAATCCCCTAGGCCAGAGTCTGTTGACTTCTTCCTTCCTTTGTTCAGCTGGCCCTGCTCATGCCTTGGGGGTTAGGGGCTGGGGGAAGCGAGCAGAGGACAGAGGGTGAGTCCGCATTAGCTCTCAGGCGGTTTCCTGGAGGAAGTGGATATGGCAGCTTGGGAAGACCCAAGACCCTCACAGTGACATCACTCGGGAAGCTGCAGAGTGGGGTTCCCCTGAGAAGAGGGGCCAGCTCTCCTAAGAGTCCCCAGCCCCTTCGGTTTCCACTATACCCCCTCAACACTGTTGTATTGCCGGAAGACTTTCTGCCTCCAACCTAAGTAGGTCATGTTTATAAACAGAGTTCTCAAAGGTGCTCCTATTAGAGACCTCTTTTCAAAAGAAAACGGAGCAGCTGAAACATTGGGCCACATCCCTCAAGTTTCTTTCCTGGTGACCCCAGAGCTCCTCTCAGGCTCATATTTCTTCCTCTGCAACTGCCTCCAGCCTGCTTTCCCCTGTTGAGAAAGTTAGAGATGGTCACTAAAATCATAACTCAGCTGATAGACTGCCTAGTTATGCCAGGTCCTGTGTCACGAGGGAAGATTCACTTATCACCCCCGTATTACAGATGAGCAAACTGAGCCTCCCCGAGCCGGTGAACCTTGCCCAAGGGAGCAGAGCTGAACCTGGAACCCAGGTCTAGTCTCCAGGCCCTACCCTGCACTAGTGCATGCCAGAGCAGACAGAAATAATGAGCTGTGGGCAAGCTTCATATGCTCCAGGACCATTCCAAGTTTTTACGGTCATGCTCCCTGTCCTGTTTTTCCTTCTAGAAGGCAGTGGAGAGCATGACTGTGAGCACCCTAACAGTGCTAGCTGTACCCATGATGGTCGTGCCCCCAGGGCCTCACACAGGGCCAGGTGCGGAGGAGGGGCCCAGCAAAGTTTGTGGAGAACCGAACAGAGGGGTGAAAGCCCATAGTGGTCCAGCTTCCTGGTTCTGCTCACCATTCCTAGCAGCATTGGACTCAGCTCGCTTCTCCTCTCACCAGCTTTCGTGGGGGAAGGAACTGTGACCCAGACTCGTAAGGAAACATGCAATCACCACTGCTTGTTTTGGGGCCAGGCACTGAGCCTCTGCTGGAGCGGCATGCAGGTCACTACTGCCTCTCCCGGAAAGAAACTGTTGGGCTTCTTCTACGTCTCCTGCATTGGCAGGCAGGTTCTTTACCACTAGTGCTACCTGGGAAGCCCTTCCAAATGGATGAGTTTTACCAAAGGGAACATACTAAGTGATGCAGTGACAGGATGAGGGGGATTGAGGAAGCCTGAAGGCAGATGGCCTGGCACATGGGTGTCACCCTTGCTCCTTTCAGACATCTGGAAAATCAGTCCCTGAACACAGTGAGCTGGACCAAGGGCCACTCTGAGAAGGACCAGGGGCAACTGTGTACTGCACTCTTTTTCCCTTACAACCAATTGACAAGTCTTCAGATTCTTGCTTGAGGGGGTTACCATGATGTCCATGATGTAGATGCTGGCTGGGGATACTCATTTACCTTCAATTAAAAAGTGCACATAGGATTTGAGCATGCTGATTAGAAGGAGTGTTAAGTGGTACTGTGGTGAGAACATGGGGTTGGGATGCCTGACAGTGCTTAAGTCAAACGTTGGCTCTGGTAGACTCTGGCTACCAGATGTGTAAAATGGGGATAATACAAAGAGATTAAATGGGACAATGTGTGCCTTGCTCTTGGTACATAGCATAGAACTAGTGTAGTGAAGAGGTTGCAAGGCAAGTGCTTGAGTCCCACTGTGTTTGAAACTTGCCTCTAACCAGAGGTGAAACCTTTGGAAAGTCACTCAATTCTGAGTGCCCCTGTTTCCTCACTTGTCAAAGAGGGAGGTAATAACAGTACCTACCTCTAGGGGCCATTCATCCTTCCAACAAACATTTGAGCAGCTACGAAGTATCAGGCACTGTTCTCAGTTCTAGCCTCGTGACATTCACATACATGCTGGAGGTTGTCTCAGGTTAGAGGGTGTCCATATAAAACATTTTAGGGCAGTACCTGGCATGCGGCAAGCACTCAGTAAGTGTTGGCAATTAACACTTTCACTGCAACCACGATCATTATCATCATATCATCATTGATGATATGTGCTAAGCATAGTAGCTCAGGCACACAGACCGTGCCAGGAAGGGGGACAGGCCACCAAGGAGAAAGTGGCGCCAGGTCCTGTTCTGCCACCACCTCATCCTCTGACTCTGAGGGGGTCATTTGACCTCTTAGACATAGACATGAGACATCCCCATCTCTAAAATGACACAGATAACGAAATGGGTTTGGAAAGCCTTTTCTCGATCTGAAGAGTTTGACTTTGGGTCCTGCAAGCCGACCTCTTGCAGAAGCTATCACAAGTAAAGTAGAGCAGATTGGTCAGTCCTCGAAAATGGAACAACAAAGATTGCTCAGACAAATGAAAACTGTAAGAATGTGTGGTTCCTGAATTATGGCTTGGTTTATCGAGCCCCACAAACAAAAATACACAAAAACATAATAAAACAAGATGTTTTTGATTGGAGGTCATCACAGCAACGTCTCTACTTTCTACAGTGCCTCAGTGATTACAAAATCCTTCTAGATTCAGTTGTTTGACTCGTGCCTGAAGACAGGTTGTGAAGTGGTACGATTATCCTCCTGTTAGTAATGTGGAAACTGAAGGCACAGAGATTGCTCCCTCTACTCGACAAATATTTATTAAGCATCTACTACATGTCAAGCACTAAGAGGCTGATTCAGCTACTTGGCCAATACCATCATGGTTCAGAAATATTTGAATGATCAAATGTGCCAAGAGAGTGCAACAGAGAGCATTAGCATGTGTCTGCCTGTTTGCACAAGCAAGCACTTGCTAGATAAGAGCTATGTCACAGGGAATGCACCAGCTAATAAAGATATCAGACAAAGAGGTGGCAGGGGGAGACACCCAGGCACACCCCTAACTATAACAAAGGGCTTTTCGTGATATAGTGAAGGTAAGAATACAAATAATACAAATTAAGGGCTATGAAAATACAGAGGAAGAATGATCAGCTCTGCTGACAAGGGGCATAGGAGGGTAAATAGAATTTCACAGGAAGATCCATTTCCGCTGTTTTGTGATAGACTAAACAATCCAAGCAGAAGTTTGCAGGAATGACAAGTAAGCTGGGGGTGGCCATGGTTGAAAGTGTTCCTAGGCATGGAAGATGAGCCTGAAAAGGTAAGTCGGGGTGTATTCTCTAAATCCTTGAATGTGTCTCTGTTTAAACCCAACTACATGGTGTGGGGGCTCTCCTTTGTTTGACAGTGTATCAGGAATTCGACCACCTCCTGGAGGAGCAGTCTCCCATCGAGTCCTACATCGAGTGGCTGGACACAATGGTGGACCGGTGTGTTGTGAAGGTGGGTCAGCTGAGCGGAAGGCCCCGGCCCTGGATGGCAATCCATCACTCGTGTTGGTGGCACTTGGGTCACCAGCAGCAAGCTAGCTGAGTGTTTCCTCGGCGGCCTCAGAGCCCTAGGCAAAACTTGGGCCTCCCCTTAGGAGGTAGACGGGAAAGAGAATCAAAGGAGGCAAGATTCTGAGGCTCCCTCCCCTGGTTCAACCAGGCCAGGATCTCTTTTTTCTGTTGTACACATTGAGTCTTGACTTAAGATTTCATTTCTTAGAGTGTACTTCTGCTGCTAAAAATAAAAAAGTAAAAAACCACCATTCCATGACATTGAACTTAGAGACCCATAAACCTTCTTGTCATATTTTATAAGAAAGAATAATCAGTGAAGATCAAATCAACCATTCTTAAAGCTGTTCACTCTCTCTTAGGTGGCTGCCAAGAGACAAGGATCCCTGAAGAAGGTGGCCCAGCAGTTTCTCTTGATGTGGTCCTGTTTTGGCACAAGGGTGATCCGGGACATGACCTTGCACAGTGCCCCCAGCTTCGGTAAGTCCACCCCAGCCCCCTCCAAACCAAAAATGTCTTCACTGGGCTCCATGGATCAAGTCCATCTCTCCAGAGTTAGGCATGGTCTCGTTGTCTCTAAGACCATAAGGACATTACCCAGAAACATCCTCTGTTCTGGGGGACATGATGTTAGGACTTTCGGGGAGAAAGATGGCATTGCATGCTAAAGGAGAAGTATTTATATCTGGAGATGAGAGGCTGGCACACACTACCAGTTGAGTTTAAAGAGGAATAAATAGCAGTGGCTGTGCTCCCCCTTTTATGGAAGCCCCAGTCATGTCTACTTTTATAGGGCTATTTTGACAAATTTCATAGTGTGGATATGCCAAGACTGGGCACATGAAGAAGCCCCTGAGTCCAAACATTTGCAAATGGCTTAATTGACAGGCCAGCGGTGGGTAGATAAGTTTCTTTGATGATATGCCCCAGGCTGATGCCTCGTGAAGGACTTCTGCATTCATTTTCCCCTTTGCTTTACTGATCCCGTGGGTTTGCACCACCTCCAGGAGACATCCCTACCCCAAGTCCTTGTCTTCTGTTTTCCAGTGTTAACGGGACTTGAAATTTCTGCCCAGAGGTGCTTCTAATAGTCTCTGTGGGCAGGAACCTAATCACTGACTTGGGGGGATTATTATGTTTCATTAGAAAGAATGTCATAGGCACGGAGTTCAGGTCATCATTAAACAAGTGACATAGGACGTCTAGGCATCACCCAGACATTTGAAATCTCAAAAACGCTCTGGCCTTCAATTTTCTAGGCATTTCAGCAAAGGGCTCTTGGTAAATTTTCAGGGTAATTGCCTTGTTCTCTGTTTATCTTTGCAAGTAGAAATGTGATTTTTGCTTCTCATTATCTCCAATTAAGTCAATCAGCTCTGGGCTTTGCTCTGGGTTTAATCTGACACTTTTCCATCTACTTTTTTATGGTCTTGTCAGCATTTTCCAGTTGTGCTATACAACGTGGTGAGTATGTGTTGAAACAAAGAATGCACTATTTTTTCTAAACAGTTCAGTCTGGACTGTGTTTACCCAATTGGAGAAGTGTTTTGTTGTGGATTTCTTTATCTCAGCTTTGGGAAGTTCTCTGAACCTGCCTGCACCATGACTACAGACGGAAATTCTCTTTGAGCTGTGTATGGAAATGCTCTGATGACCGCTACCTGGGCAGTGACATCAGACACGGCATTTTGATGACTTCCAGTTCAGCATAGTTAGTGTTAGCACATGTTACCTCTGGCTCTGGGAAAACCATTTGTGCATAACTGCTTTCAGTTAAGCCAATGGGTAAAAAATACTCAAGATTTTTTCATTGCTTTAGAATCAAAGAATGAACAATGCCACATAAATAAATATATACACATCCACAAAGCAAGCATCCTCTCCTTGTTTTAGATCTTATGCTTCAATTTGCTTTCTTGAACTGACTATATTATCAAATACCCTTCATTAGGTAGGGAACATAGTTGATGTTGTAATAGTCTTTGTTTGTATTTACTAAGTTAACAGTCGATGTTATGGACAGTAGAACAATGAGAGTTCAGTGAATAAGTACTAAGAAATACTATTCCTTAAAATGTGATTGTTTCTTTTTGAACCACACACTATTCTAGGATACACCGGAAACTCAGGCAAATGGCAAAGAATGGTCACAAAACTTTTAGAAATGGAAAGAAAAAAGATATGAACCCAATTTCACTTTTACAGTATTTTTCAACCCTGAACAGATGGAAATAATACCTGTCTCCAAGTCTGTTTAGCAAGCTCTCTGAAATGGTCCTGCTCATCCGACTCATTGTTGAGTTTTGCAGCTTGGGGTGACAGGCAAGTTGAAAGAATTTGCGGCAGACAAAAGCCCAGCTCCCCCTTTCTGCCTGTATATGTCAAAGACACAGTTGGTGGTTGTGTTTGGGTCATGTGTTCCCTGTATAAAAACAGCTAATTAGGAAAAAGAGCCCTCTGTTCCCTGGCCCCACCCCCAACCGCAGGGGCCAGCTCTATATATCTTATAACTCCCACACGATCCTGGCCCTGTGAATGGTGCGGGCGTTTGTGTGTCTGCGTAGCAGGCTGACCGTCACAATGATCGTGTGGAATATCACAATGATCCTGCAGGGACTCTATCACCTCTTCCCAGAAGAGCCTCTTTCAAAGGTAGTTGACTCCTTTCTTCTCCTTAATTCCTTTTCACTCTTTTCTCCCTAATTCCTTTTCACTGAAAGAGCCTATGCTGTGAACTAAAGTAGCCAGACTTTCTTTCTTTGCTGCAAGCAGCACTTTCTAGCAAAATTAGTCAGCAAAGGTAGGGTGGTGGGCAATGAACTTTTCATCCTAATGGAGCTGAGGAAATTAGAGACTCTATTTAAACAACAACAACAACAACAACGCATTTGCGGTTGACTGCTCTGAGTTCAGTTCCTAGGACACCTGGCTCCCGAGGCAGTGCAGGTGTCTTTATGCTTCACTCTGGGTTTTCACCAGATGCCCCTGTTTTCACTGTTTGGGAACATCCAGAAGGCAAACATAGTTCCCGGAAGTGCTTCAGCATGAAATGGTGTGGAAAGCTGCCTTGGATTTGAAGGCTAAGTGGGTGGGGCTACGTATCATTTCCCAAGTTTTCACCTTTCTACACACTTTTGTTCTGGCCTAGAGTCAAAGCTCACCCACTCAGGCAGGGCAGGGGAAGCCACGTGGGAGCAGCTCCGAGGCCAAGTGACTGTGACGGACGGAGCCTCCAGACTGCCTTCTCAAGGTTTAGATGTCCTGGCCTGGCTCTCTTACCCAGAACCGGCTAAACTGCAGAATCTTGACCTTCAAAATGTCACTCACAACCCCGCCGAGCACCAGGAGGCAGGACTTGCTTTCCCTGTATTAGGGAGAAAAAGCAGAAACCCAGGAGGAGATGGGGCTCCAGGATGTACGCAAACTGAGCTGAGCTCCCCCGCCCAGGGTTTGATCCCACGCTAGGGCCACACTGCTGAGGCTGCTTCTAACTTTCTTCAGCCAAAGAGCAGTAAGAAAAACAAAGCATTGTTTATTCAGGGCCTAGTATACACTAGACACAACATTAGGCACCTTCTCATTGAATTCTCACAACTTATGAGGTCAGTATAACAGACAAGAAAGCTGTGATAGAACAGGAAGCAAAAGCAGGATAATGCTACTCTTTTTGACAAATGTATAGAAAGCACACAGTACCATTTAATTCTCACATCAACTCTGCCAGGCAGACAAAAATAGATATCTTTTTTACTGAGATGGAGAATTTTCTTGCCCAAAATCAATCTGGTAAGTGGCAGAGCACTGTTTCAAAATCAAATCTGCCTTGCCACAAAAGCCATGCTTTCTCAATTACCACAATTAAGACAAATATCCTGGGCTCAGATGCATGGCACAAAAAAGACTAGATAAACTGTTTACCCCTCGTTGATGGTTTTCTAAAGCCATATTGATGGAATAAAAAAAAAGTTTAAGATATGAGAAAAAAGAACAATAATTAGATGATCATGAGTAATAAGAGATGCCAGGAGACAAGTGTTGAGAACAAAGCACTGTCAACCATTATTGAAAAGTGAGGGCAAAGCAAAGATATTTTCAGTTATACAAAAACTCAGAGAACTGTGGCACCCGTAGAACTTCACTTAAAAAAATTAAAGGGTGCATTTCAAGACGAAGAAAAATAAAACTGTCACTAAGTTCTGGGATGCAAGAAACAGCAATGGTCTAGTTATTGTTGTTTACCAAAAGTGTAGTGATTTAAAACAGTATTATGCCTACAGATTCGATGGGTCAGGAACGTGAACGGGATCCAGCAGGGAGGGCTGGTCGCTGTTCCACGATGTCTGGGACCTCAGGGTCCAGCAGGGATGGCTGGCTGGCCTCTGTCCTGTGATATCTGGGACCTCAGATGGGAGGACTCAAAAGCTGGGGCTCACCCAGCTGGAGGCTGGAATCCTCTGGAAGCCTCAGGTGCCTGGTGCCTGGGCTGGGATGACTTGCAGCCTAGGACAGGCGATCGGGCTGCACTCAAATGGCCTCTCTGTGTGGCTCACTTTCCTCACAGCACGGTGGCCTCTGAGCAGTTGAACCTCTCTCGTGGAGGCTCCGGCCCCCTGAACGAGTGTGCCAAGGAGGGAGCGGCAATGCCTCTTGTGACGCAGTCTCAGAAGTGAAAGTGTCACCACCCTTGCTCCGGTGATCAAAGCAGTCACAGACCTACCAAGATTGAAGGAAGTGCATGGACCACCCCCCTCCCCGCCCTGCACAGCACACACAATTCTCCCAGGAAGGCTTGTGAAAGAATTTGGGGGCCTTCTTTAAGATGAAAGAAATTTTAAAATATATAAGCAGATTTAAGTAACTTTTGATTGTAATTTAAAAACTAACTTTTGTTGTGTGTTTTAAAAAGGTAAAATCAAACTCTAGGAAACAATAAAACACAGGGAAGTGGGGAGAGACTCTTTCAGGAATAGTTAGAGCATGCTAAAGGTCTTTGTCTTGAAATACTATATAACTTTAGATTTTGTTGAAAAGAATGTGTAGTTTGGACTTAATAGATGTGTAGGATATAGAATCATTACTAGAAGAATAGAATCATAATTTGCCAAAGAAAAATGGAAAAATGTGAAAACTTAACTGGCAAGAATTGAGAAGATAAAGGAAGTTTAGAAAAAAATATAGTAAACTCAAAACATGAAATAGGATGCTAGAAATAAGATCAACTAATAATCACAGTAAATAAAAAGATCTTTTCCCTCAAAAAAATCAGGCATAAATTGTAACTTTTACTAAACCTTTAAGAAGCATAAAATCCTTAGTTTATGAAAATTAATATGAAAATCAGTGTTTTAGAGAATAAAACAAAAGAAGGAAAGCTATATAGTTAATTTTATGAAGCTGATATAATCTCAGCTTCAAAAACTTAGAAGAACTGTAGAGGAAAAGGAAATTATGACTCAACCATACATTAAATATAGATGAAA